CACCTGCCAGAGGTACTTGCCTTTTCCTTCCTCTGACTGCCAGTCGGGGAGAGCCAAGAGCTAGAGCTAGGGGTGGAGCAAGCTTCCCGACCAGTTGGTCAGTCGAAGGGGCAACTAAAGACCAGGTGCCCGACCACCATGCGGGAAAATTTTCAGTTGTCGAAGGTTTTGGGCAGAAAGGGAGATATGAATTCGAGGTGATATAGTTGGTGAGTTGAGAAATATAGGTCGGGATGAGTTCGGGAATTACCAGACCCTCGGGGCTTTGAAATATGAGGTGAGGACTGGCTAATGGTCCTGGTATACCCTGGCAGCAACCAAATTGCCTCGACAAAAATTGAGGTTGGTAATTGTAAGTGTAAAATGATCTACGATTTTTCTTATCCGACCTCCTACTAGAAAAAAAGAGATCGGGGTTTCATCGCGGCGTCCCAGGAAAAAATGTAGGTCGGGTGAGGGATAGGATCTGGGCGAGTTAAAGGATAAGTTGGGTCAGGATAAAGGAAGAAAATATCGGTCGAATATTGCATTAAGGTTGTATATACAAAAAAACGGGAATTGTTCTGATCTTCGGTCAAAATTTGGGTTATTATAGAATCAGAGGATTTTAGACAAGAAGAGTTCGGGGTTAATCTGGCTAAGGCATAGGCAATAGACCTGTAAGGATTGGGAGAAATTGGGAGGCGACCAAAAAATGTAGAGGGGAAGTATAGACGGAGCCACAATTCCAGGAACCAAAATGGTCCTGAGGCTGCAGTGTCCGCCTTTTTAGTATCCGTAAGACGGGAGCTTACTCGAGTTAAACCCTCAAAGAGGTTGGCTAAAAATAAGGTGCCTAATGAAGTGAAGTGACCATATGCCAAATGGATGGCTAGGTCAATGTGAGTAGAAAGGACAAGTTTCGAAGGGGAAAGAATGATATATCTGTGAATAAAAAGAACAAAGGAATTTAAGCTCAAACATTCAAACTTTGTACATACAAAAGAAATTAAAAGGAAGAAGATATACCTGCAGAGCCAAAAGAGGAGAAAAGCAGTGTGTTCCAACTCGGAAACAGGGGTATCCTCCTTACCCTGATATTTGTTGACAAAGTGTGTCCATCCTCTTTCTCTTTCAGGAAGCTTGGCCAGGGCCCAACCTTGATGGTTGGGGGGAAGTTCTTGATTTCCGAGAGAAACCAGAACGGGGTCCTCTCCTGTGATCGGCAAATGCGCGATCACTGCTACATCCATTAAGGTTGGACCCACTGGACCTGAAGGGAGGAAAAAGGTACCTGTTTGCGAATGCCAAAAGGCCGCCATGGCCATCAGAACTTTATCGTGTAGATAGAGGGGTTGCGTCGAAAGGAGGATAGCTTTATCGATCCCTTGGGTTTTCCATTGGTTTTCAAAATGGGGAAGGAGCCTCGCGTACCATTTCCGATAAGCATCTTTTGGATCAGTCAAGTGAGTCTTGATATTGTCCAGAAGGCGTTCCGGTTTGAACGCTTTATTGTTGACGATAATAGGAGAAACTTGAACAATAACAGAGCTCATACGCTCAGCATCCGCAGTGGTAGTACAGTAAGGGCGTATTGTAGGGGTAAGAACCTTGGAAGATACAAGGGGTATTGAGGGTTCGGTTCCATCAAAATGAAGTGCAGGAACGTATTGGTTAGCCATTTACACGAGGATGGGAAAGATATAAAGAAAGTAAAAATGAATGAGGGAGCTATATGAGAGAGCAGAAAGGATTTTTTAGAATCGTGAATGCGTAAGTTTGAGAAGATGAAGGTAGGGTTTAACATAAACCCTTTTGATTTGACGCAGCGCAGTGTGATGATCACACTGTAACCCTAAAACGTCACGTCTTCCGTAGTTCGAGGAGTGACGTTTCGACGGGAGGAGGCAAGTTGTTGAGCACAAAATAATGGATAGGTTTTTAGGGAATGGGCCTGCCAAGATTAGGTTATTCGAAACATCTAATGGGCTTTTCGAAAGTCCAAGTATGATTACAGTAATCGGGTCGGATGAGTTTAGAGTCTGATCAAACCTGGTCGGGTAAATCCCCAAGGTCGGACGGATGATGAGATTGGACCTGGTCGGGACCAAATAGTTCGGACGTCAAAGTCGGACCTAGTCAGGACAAAGTCCGAGGGTCAGATGTAAGAAAGTCAGACGGATGATGAGATTGGATCTGGTCGGGACTAAATAGTTCGGATAGAGAAGTCGGACCTAGTCGGGACAAAATTCCAAGGGTCGGGCGTAAGAAGGTTAGACATTGAAATCGGACCAAGTTCAAAGGTCAGGTATTAAAAGTAGTTACCCTGCAGGTCGGGTAAAAAGCAGTTTCGGATAGTGGAGGGTAGTTTCGACTGGCGAGCGGTTTTTAAAAGTCGGACATGACAGGACGGTTCTCATACGTGTCGATAGAAGAGAACTTTTTGGGGAGTTAACAGCGGTTATGGTAACCGACCGGATAGCGGTTCGAACCGTATCTTCAAGGGGTTATTTAAAGATTCCGTATTGTATAGAAAGGGCATCTTCAATCGACATCAAATTCAAGAAAATTGCTTTTGGGGATCACCACTTTATTTTCCAGTCTTTATTTTTATCCTATTTTATTTTATGTATTCTACATTGTTTAGAGGTTTCTAATTTCAGACACTCATCTATCAAATTCGGAAATATTTTTCTATTTTTGAATTTTACTTTTTATTGTTGAAAAAACGCATCAACAATAATTTTTCATTTATATGAAAATTTTGAATTTTGACAACATAGAAATACTTTAAGTTAACCTACTACATCTAGTTTACATATAATATATATATATAATATCCAATAGCACAACATAAGTCATAACATTCTAAAATTGGAATTACAAATTTCATCAATGTTAAAAAAACCAAGAATTTCTTGTTCTAAACTTACTTAAACGCATACTCACCCACTCACTCACTCATTATTGCATATTTGCCTATATATATATATATAAAGTTATATCCATTAATTCTCCTCGTTAACCAAAACAAATTAAATTGCTGCAACACATAAAAAAAAAATAGCAACAGGTTTTGAAAAAAAAATACAAAAAACTATGAATAAAATTACAAATACAAATAAAATTAAAAATAAAATAAATACAATAAAAGAAACAAAAAATAAAAAACACAAATCAACAAAAAAAAGAGAAGAGAGATTAAAAAAAAAAAATTAGGCTCAGGTATTGGGAGAAATTATTTAAACTTTGGTGGAAAACGTTGAGGAAGAATAAAAACGTTTTTGTAAGAAAGATCTGCGAGCGTCTGAAGAACAAGATGCAAGACTAAGATTGTAGTGCAGTGAGAAATTTGGATGACAATGGTTGCTAGGGTGATTGGGCGAGGGAAGGTGGAGAAGAAGAGGGTCAGTGCGAGAACGGGGGGATTGAATTTGAGGATTGAAATTGGGAATTTTAAATCTTGGGTTAGGCTGAGTTTTTGTTAATAATATAAAATTAAAAATTAAAAATTTTAAACTATTGAATATATTTTAAAATTATTTAATAAAAAACTTTCGGTACGGTATAATACCGAAATACCGAAACTTTCTAAAATTGATACCGATACCGTACCGAAAATTTTGGTATGGTACCGATACCATACCAAAATTTTTAGTATTTTTCGGTACGGTAAGTCAGTATACCAATTTTTTCGGTAAATTTATCAATCCCTAGTTCTACCTCTGGTTATTGCGTGTTTATTGGAGGCAATTTGATTTCTCAAAAAAGTAAGAAACAAGATGTGCGCTCTAGTGCTGAGGCTGAATATCATGCTATGGCTTTAGCTACATGTGAGCTTCTCTGGATTAAACAATTACTTTGTCAACTCAAGTTTGTGATGTGACGAAGATGAAGTTATGGTGTGATAACTAAGCAATACTACACATTGCATCAAATCCAGTATTTCATGAACGAACGAAGCATATCGGAATAGATTGTCACTTCATCAAAGAGAAAGTATTATCTGGATATATAGATACTAAATATGTGCCTTCAAATGATCAACTTGCAGACATATTTACGAAAGTTCTTAGAGGTCCTAAATCATAGTCTATCTGCAACAAACTTGGATTGTATGATTTGTACGCTCCAGCTTGAGGGAAGTGTTACATTTATTAAAATGATATCCATATCTATATCCATATCTATATTCATGATTTAGTTAGTTATGATAAATTTTCAAATTTGTTATATATATATATACTCTTTCCTTTTCTCTTTTTGAAATAATATAATTTTATTTTCTTTCTATTTTTCTAAGTGTAAGAACACATAAATAATAAAAAGTTTTAAAGTAAAATTGTTATTGTGAACTTTGAGGTATATTAATATTTTGGTTTAAATATGGAAAAATTTTAAAAAATTATAATAATTTTTTTTTGAAAAAAAAAAAAACTCAGAGAAACTCTAAGTAATTACAAAGTGATAAATTCTAGTTTTTATTTTAAATTTTTATTTTTACTTATTTTAAGTATTTTTTTACATGTTTAATTTGCATTTTATTTTATGATCTATTAAATTTATATAATTATTTATAATAAATAATTTTATCTACTCATAATTTTATTATTATTATTATGTTATAAATTATCAATTTATCACTATTTTATTTATTTTTAATTTATTTATTAAGATTTTAATAAATTTTGTATAATATTTTTTTTTACTTTTTTGTTTATGTATTTTTAATTACATGAGTATAGTGACATAAAAGTTCGGAAATAAAAGTATTTTATTGAGAATTAAAAAAATATATAATAGTAAAAAGTTTTAACATAAATATTTAATATAATTATTTTTAATAAAATATATAAATAAAAAAAATGACAAAAACAATTGACAAGAAAACCCAGTCACGAAGAAATTGAGACCATGTAAAATATCGGGGCGGAAGCGAGAAAACAGAAAAGTATAGGGGAAAAACGTAAACAGAAGAAAATATCTACCCATAAGAAAAAGATATTAAAATAGAAATCGCGGAAGCCGAACCGAACAGAACGGAGGCTTTAAACCCAGTGCCGTACAGATTTTCCCCACCCCCACTCGGTGATGACTTCCTGATTACCATGCGATATTGCACCGATTTCCGCCGACAGACCTTGCTAAATTCCATCAATTTTTGCTCATTTCTCTGAAATTTTGTTTACGATCGACTCTCTGGTTGTTTCCGATTTGTCTTTGGATGGCTGCCAGTGCAAATCCTTCAGGGGTTCACAGTAACGGGAACGCCAATAACGGGAACTCCAACGGCGCCGCGCAAGAGAATGCGAATGGCGGAAGCGTCTCCGCCACGGAGAATTCCGTGGCGGGACCCAACCAGACTTCCCTCCGCCATAACCCGGGCCTCTCGCTTGATTGGACACCGGAGGAACAGTCCACGCTCGAAGATTTGCTTGCGAAGTGAGCTTAATTTGTTAATTCCTACTGTTTCTGTTGAATTTTTGGCTCGATTTGTTCGTCAGCTGTTTGTTTATATGCTATTTCGTGTTTTGGCTGTGTATGTTTTGAATGAAATAACCATTGCATTGGCTTTATTTGCATATGACGGTTTTGATATTATGGAGATGATTTTGTGTGTTTGAGAAGCAAGAAATGAATAAATTTTAAACACCCATTGTTTGGTAGTAGGCAGGATATAAGTGCAGAAGTGCAGTTGCTATAACTGCTCCTAAAAGGTATACAAGCATATCCTTTTTCAATGCATTTTTTAGGCAAGTTGAAAGCTGATGCATTTTATGGCGAAGATTTCTCAGGACATGGTAAGCTCAAAACATAAGATTTGAATTTGAAGCGTAAAGATCTTAGTTGTTGGCATGTCGTCAACTTCATTTTCTTTGATTAGTTTAGGGGATTTTAGTGACTGCCAGTTTCTTGTGATCTATAAACAACTATACCAACAGCACCGCATGGTGGAACATGGAACTATTGTGTACCACACATCTGGAGGATTTCTGAAATTCTGCATTCGGTTTTTCTGGTTCCCTCTGGCATTTCTATTTGAAACTGTGAAATTGATTGAAAAAGTAGAATAAAAGGAGTGCTTTTAGATGTGCATGAGCATACGGGTGTGAGTAGTTTTCAGTGATTTCTGCAAGTAATTGATTTGTATTTGCTTAACAGTATTCATTATTGCCCAAACAATTTTTCATTATGTAATGTTTGTGCGGAAGTGCTGCTTCTCGTTGGTCTACTTGTGGAACTTTTTTTTTGCTGCCTCATGTCCATATCCAAAATTTCAAACAGAATTCTGATTATACCAAACCATTTGCTGCACTGACATATGCATTCATTATTAGATGATTTTAATTGAGTTTTGCCATTAGTTGCATTCTTTTGTGTTTCATTCATGTACCATGTTAATACTGAGCGGATGTGTTTTTTGTAGATATGCATCTGAACCAAGCATAGTTCGATATGCTAAAATTGCTCAGGCTTTAAAAGATAAGACAGTTCGTGATGTTGCATTTCGATGCCGATGGATGAACGTAAGCCCTTATTGTCATTTAACTTTGAAATTTTAGTTAGCTGTTTGAAATTCAATTCCAAGAAAATGCTTTGGGAGATAATGCTTTGTAATTTTAAGTTATAATGGTTTCCAAGTTAATTGATTGACTTTTCACACTTAAAAAACATGAGTAAAGGGTTGCCAGAGATGAACAGATATCTACATTAGATATGAAGCCAAAGTTGATAATGTAATTGAAGGTATAAAATAAATAAATGAATAATTATTTAACTAAGATCTCCATAATCTTTAGCCATCTGAAGTATGAAATATGGCAGCACTTGACCATAAAAGCATTTGTAAAATTTATTTGAATAGTCACTACAGATCTAGAGGAAAACCTGAAGAGAATTTGGAATGAACTCTAAAAAAATATGCTACATTAAATTTTTAGGACATATGTGACTTGATTGAGTTCAACGATTAAATGTGATCCTTGTATCTTATCCCAAGTTTGATGAAGTTTTAGGTGTTGATGGATTCACCGTGGATCTGATTTTTGTGATCAGCTCTCTTTTACAAATGTAACATGAATGGCTTTCTGTTTTGTAGAAAAAGGAAAACGGCAAGAGAAGGAAAGATGATCATAACTCAAGGAAAAGTAAAGATAAGAAGGTAATTATTTTTTACCGTCTTCTTTGTTAAATGTCCCTAACAACCATACTAGTCCTTTAAATATTTTTATTTTATTTTAATTTTCTCTTCCTATTGTCTTATTTCCCTACAATATCTCTCTTGGAATATGTGTCACACATATTGTCCGTCCAACGTTTAATTAGTTAATAAGTTGTAACTTGAAAATTGGTGGTCCATGGTGATTTTGTAGGAGTATCATTTATATTTAAGCATTTGCAGCGTCATTCTTTTAATGACTATATGTAATTTTTCCCTTTGAATAACTGCATCATAGCATATACTCATGCCAATAAACATTTGCATGAGCATGGTAGTCATGAATATTCCACTATTAGGAAAGCATTCATATTTTTTAGTCTATGATTATTCTTCCTTACGTCTAGTCCTGATAAATATATTTTGAGGCCTTCTATTCATTGCACTTTCTTAATTGCCATTTCTTGAAGCTTTTTCTGTTATTTATTTATTTAGTTTTCAGAACTCTCGCAATGTTCAATTGATTTAAACTAAGCATTTTAGCTTTTACTAGTCCATTGTTTTTTCCCCTACTACATGAAGTGCTAGATGATGCTATTTATCTTTCACAATCATTGTACTAGTACACTGGCTTCTTAGGTCATTTCTCTAGCCCGTTCATTCCGTGCTAATGCCAAGGATCGATTATGCATGAACTATTGGTCATCATTTGGGGTGAGAAACTGGCGTTTCCAATTTGCATGCTAGTGCAACTTAATGGATGTTCCATAACCAGTTTTAAACAATAAAATTGTAGAGATTCACATTGATAGAGATTCACATTAATAGAGATGTTTTGCACACATAAGGGGTAAAATTGCCTTTTGATAGTATCCATCGTAAGAGAGCAATTTCAATGTCTAGTTAGGTGAAATTAAAAGTTCATACCATTCAATTGTAGTATTTTTTATTTATATTATTGTTTTAGACTTTCAGTTGGCCATTCTTTTTGTTCAATGATTCTTTGGAAGCAAATTAATCATCATTTTTTTACTATCAAAATATACTACCTAAAATACTGCCCTATAAAACAAAAGTAGCAGACTAATGAGACGGAGGTGGTAATGTTTTTGTAGATTTAACTGAACAATAGAAAAGATTAATCCAACCAATGCCTCTGTTTTCAGGAAAAAGTTATAGATTCATTGCCAAAATCTTCTCAAGTAGCAAGCCGAGCCAATAATCCGCCCTATGTTCAGTCAATGATGTCACTGGATAGTGATGATGGAATCTCATACAAAGGTCAGTTGCTTTTGGAAATTAGCCGACATGCTAAATCTTATGTTGGTCTAGTTCTGGCTTTCTTTGTTTAGGCAAATTTTCATCTCAGTATTTTTATTCTCCATGTTCTCTTCATAGTGGTATACCACCACCCTTTTTGAGTATAATAAATTTTCTGCATGGAAGTTGAAATGCAAATTAGAATATTCATTGTTCCTCTTCATTACTTTATTTGGGTGAAGCTGTGTTGTCCGCTGTTACAAAAAGCAAATATCTATTTAAAAGAAATTAAATGAAACAATAATATAAAGGAACTTCTTTATGTCTTACACAAGGATACTATCCTTCTGCCCCACTAAGCCAAAAGACCTATTTATTTATTTATTTATAATTCAAAATTTGGATAATCCTAAAACAATAGCCCTAAAACTTAATTATAGCCTGCTTAGGGCTGTTCTGAAATACCTTAACAGGTCTGAATCCCAATGGGGCTTAGCCCTTGTGACATGGAATGTGTTAATCTGCATTGCATAAATCTTTTGCTAATGATGTTTGTACTATATCTTCATCTTTCCTTTCATTTATGATCAAAACATGGAAATGCATTTTTTTTTTAATAACCTTGGAATTGCATCTAGTAGCAAGTTTTGTCCTTTATGATGATCATGAACTTAATTGGTACTCTTGGTTTTTCCCTACCATAATTTTGAATTTTGCTCATTGTTTTGCATCTGAATGCTCTGGTATTCTACTATTTATTTGTATTTTCAAGCTGGCCCCACTAGTCCAGCTAGCTAGTGAGCGGGTTCTATCTGTTTTTTTGTTTTTTTCTCCTCCTCACTAATCAACAATTTGTTTGGGAGAGCTGGTAATTTTTGTGGGAGTGAAAGTTGTGGCCAATAAACTTCATGTGGTCTTATTTTGAACTAGACTTTGATTCTGTTTTTCATGGCTGAACACCTAATGCTGCTGTGTTTGACACAGAATAAATTATAAGTTATTCTTTGGACATATTTTATAGCTTATCTGAATATCAAACAAAGTAGAATGTGGTATTCATTATGTGCTCCAACTTTAAGATGCATAGATCATTTCTTGTGTTATTTTCTAAAATGGCCATTGGTTCTACCTTTTGTTTTGTTTGCTTCCTTAATTTTTAGTTTGTGAATTGCAGCTATTGGTGGAGCTACAGGTCAGCTTCTCGAGCAAAATGCTCATGCCTTGGATCAAATTTCTGCCAACTTCTCTGCTTTCAAGGTATTGTTTATCAAAGACTGTATTTTCCCATTTTTTAAAAGATTTAGAATGCATTAATATTTCTTCCCTGCACAATACATATATATATATATATATTAATATATATAATTTTCTTTCTGAGAGATGCTAAGAAGTTTCCTGCCCTTATTGTGATGGTCAGAGAATGACCCAACTCAGGATCAATAGTGGTTTTCTACCATCCACTTATGTTCTTTGTGGGTTAAAATTTGTTATGGTTTAAAATTTCTTATTATGGGTTTCTCCGGGTAAGGTCCAGTGCGTGGTTGGGAAATGAATTTAGTGGGCTTGAATTGAATGTTTGTCTCTGAAGTTTTACCTAGATAATAATTATTCTGCATCCATTGTGTATGTTAATCTTGTTTATACTGTATTTATTTTATCCTAATATAGTACCATTTTACTTAAACCTGTACCATTGATTTTTATTTATACTTTCATTACTATTATTACTATTTGTTTTTTTTTTCATGTTAATTAATAGTCAATAAAATAAATTCATGTATCCAGTATTTTTCATCAACAAGCTGTCATTGTTGATCACTCCCTCATTCTTTGCTAGCAACCTCATGTTTCCATCTTATCTTATATTAATCTCTTGTTTTATCATGCCAACGATGTGTAATAATAATAATAATTTGTTAATGATTAACATAACAAAAGAAGTTCCGATAGCATGTCATCTTCTAATTCGATTCTTATTGATTTTCTTGCCTTTACTGATAGAGTTGACATCATATTTTGCTTTTGTATTTACGTGCAGATACATGAGAACATTGATCTCTTCTGTCAGGCTCGATCCAACATCCTTTCAATTTTGAACGAGTATGTCTCTGCCCCCTCGGTTCCTAATATCAAATTCTCATATTATTACACTTTTTTTTTAAGCATGGGGGAATCATATTCCATGGTATCACTGGCTTTATCCTTTTGATATCCCTTTATCGTTACCTTACCAATTCGCCTGCTATTGGTAACTGGTACGAAAAAATATCATACCATGCGTTCCCGTTCATTCCTATTGGTCCGTTGTTGAATTTCAAAATACAACAAGATTCTGATCCTATCTGTATGCCAGTTTCAATGACTTGCCAGAAATAATGAAGCAGATGCCTCCGCTGCCGGTCAAGCTGAACGAAGAACTCGCCAACTCCATTCTCCCTCGACCACTGCCAAAAAAGGTGTGATGCCCTCGCTCGTCTCCTCTCCCTCGATCCATCTGTAGTTGTAGCGAAAAAATAAAAATTAAGAAGTGGTTAGTTCAAGTCAGGTCTCAGTTGTGGTATGTAAAGGTCGTATTTCTTTTATGTTTGCACTTTGTAATAGTTTCTACTTGTCTTTCTCAGTTTCTTGCTTTCAGCCACTATAGTGAGTTTGTGTAGAGTATGTTGTAATTTGTTTTTTCTTGTGTAAATAAGTAAATCTAGGGAGATTTTTTTTTAATTTATTTTTATTCAGAAATTGCTGCAATTTATTTGTATTGCTAGGGAGAAAATATTATTTATTGTAATGGAAAAACAAAATTTAAAGGGATTCAAATTGGTAAGTTGTCTGTTTGAATTGATTTTAAAAAGAAACATTATCTAAAATATGTATGAGTATTATACCAAATAATTATTTATTGTGTATATATTTTTCTCTAAAAGAGAAATGAAAATACTTTTTTTATGATAGTTCAGAAAAAAAAAAAGGGTAAATTTTTCTCTAATTGTGTAAGTAATATAAAAATAATATTTTATGATAATTGTTACTGAGTAAATAGAATATATATATTGAAAATTCTGTTGAAAAAGAAGAACAAAGTTTTTGTATTTAATAGTTATTTGATACGATATTTTGAATGTAAATTAAAATAATATTATAATTTAAAGTTTTAGAAAACACTATCTCGTTAAAGTTGATGTTTATTCTAAACTAGCCTATTACATGTTGTTACGAGAAAACGAGAAAGAAAGCAAATAAAGAACACAGAGGTTTTACGTGGTTCGGTAACTACGTCAACGGGCAGGAACCGGAGAGATTTTATTATACTGATTCAGAAATTTACAATAATGTCATCCGACTAAGAACCATAGCTATCTATTTATAAATACCCCAAAACACCTTAAACCCTAAGCCTATTTGTTATTAATTAGGATAAGCCCAAAAGGAATCCTGCCAATTGAAACAGCCCTTTTGCTTTGGTTTTGGGTCGGGTAGATCGCTAAATCCAAGTCACGTTTCAACAATCTCCACCTTGACTTGGAGTTTCTCCAACCGCCAAAGATTCGTCAGTATCTCTCAGTCGTCTCCTTCCTGCCAGATGCCCCGAGAGGGTTTTACCTCCTGCGAATATTCACCAAGTTCAAGCAGTGCTGAAACTTCTCGGTTGGTAGCGCCTTTGTCAACATATCAGCTGAATTGTGTTCTGTAGCTATTTTCTGAATAGAAAACCTATCTTGTTCCAGAACATCACGAATAAAATTCAACCTTACATCAATATGTTTGGTTCTCTCATGATACACTGGATTTTTAGCCAAACTCAAAGCACTTTGACTATCACAGAATAACACCGGTTTCTCCACCTTCAGACCCAAACTCTGCACCAGACCATGTAACCAGATACCTTCCTTAATACCTTCAGTCATTGACATGTACTCCGCCGCAGTCGTCGACAGTACAACTGTGGTTGTAAAGTGGACTTCCAACTGACTGCACATCCAAACAGAGTGAAGATAAAACAAGTCAGTGATCTTCGTTTCACCAAGTCACCCCAGTAATCAGAGTCTGCATAGCCAACAAGACCATCACCATGGCCTTTATCATCATATACCAGACAAATATCAGACGCTCCTTTCAATATCGCAAGATCCACTTTACAGTTTCCCAGTGAGCTTTACCCGGATTAGCCATAAACCTGTTCACCACACTAACCGCATAAGCGAGATCTGGTCTCGTACATACCATCGCATACATAAGACTTCTAACTGCACTTGAATATGGAACCATCTTCATGTAGCTAACATCTTTATCTGTACCCGGTATAGTGCTTCGATCAAGTTTAAAGTGTGCCGCCAAAGGGGTACTTACCGGTTTGGACTGATCAACAGAGAATGTCTGAAAAACTTTCTCAATATACTTTTCTTGAGAAACCCATAGCCGTCTTGCTTCTCTATCACACCAGATCTCCATACCAAGTATTTTCTTTGCCGCACCCAACTCCTTCATCTCAAACTCACCCTTTAGTAGAGCCTTTAAGTCATTATTACAGCCATGTTTTTAGCTGCAATTAACATATCATCCACATACAACATCAGATACACAAAGGAATCAGTAGAAACTTTCTTCGAGTAAACACAGTTATCAAACTGATTATGAGTATAACCATTAGACACCATGAAAGAGTCAAATCTCTTGTACCATTGTCTCGGAGACTGCTTCAAGCCATACAGAGATTTCTTTAACAAGCATACCTGGTCTCCTTTAGAACTTTAGAACCCCTCCGGTTGAGACATATAAATCTGTTATTCTAGATTACCATGAAGGAATGTTGTTTTTACGTCAAGTTGCTCCAGCTCCAGATCAAAAGCACCCACCATTGCCAAAAGAACCCGAATGATTTTGTGTTTCACCACAGGAGACAAGACTTCATGGTAATCGATTCCTTCCTTCTGTGAAAACTCTTTTGCCACAAGTCTCGCCTTGAACCTAGCATGTTCAACACCAAGAATTCCCTCCTTTCTTTTAAAGACCCACTTGCATCCCACTGGCTTCACCCCTTTTGGTAGTGCAACAAGATCCCAAGTCTTGTTCTTTTCAAGAGACTGCATCTCTTCATTCATTGCCATAATCCAGGTTTCTGCATCTTTACTCGCCACAACTTCTTTATATGTCTTTGGCTCATCAGAGCCAAGATCATCACCAACCGCCAGTGCATAAGCCACAGAATTCATGTCACACGTATTGACACATCCTGCAAACCTAGCTGGTTTTTGAATATTTCTCTTTCCCTTTCTTACTGCTATGGAATCTTCAACCCTGGTACCAGCATCATCAGCTTCCCCCTCAACCGGTTCCCTTGAGGTTTTGACTGATCTGGTTGATCGGATTGATCAATAATATTATCCTGCTGCTCTTCCTCTAACACAACTCTATCAGGAGTCTCAAACTACATCCTCTGGTTAGCACCACAATCTTTTGTACCTGCAATACTTTTACAATCTCTACTCCGATCAAGCATAGCAGATTCATCAAAGGTTACATCTCTGCTAATAAGAAATTTACCAGGATTTTTACCTTCTATACACCACAGTCGATAACCTTTTACTCCTGTTGCATACCCTAAAAATATGCATTTTACCACCCTCGGCTCCAGCTTACCATCATTCACATGACCGTATGCAGGGCATCCAAATATTCTTAGATTAGAGTAATCAGAGGGTTTACCGGACCATACCTCTTGAGGAGTCTTTAAGTCAATTGCAGTTGATGGAGATCTATTAACCAGATAGCTAGCAGTGTTAACTGCTTCACCCCATAATTGCTTAGATAAGCCAGCAAATATGCGCATACACCTAGTACGCGTCATGAGGGTTTGGTTCATTCGCTCTGCAACTCTATTTTGCTATGGGGTGTGTCGTACAGTGCGGTGCCTCACTATACCTTCTTTCTTGCAGAAATCATCAAATGGAGCGTTGCAGAATTCCAACCCATTAGCAGTTCTTAGAGTCTTGACCTGTTTACCCGTCTGTTTTTCAACCATGGTCTTCCATTCCTTGAACTTCCCAAACACCTCATCTTTAGTCTTCAGAAAGTACAACCAAACTTTTCTCGAATAATCATCTATGAAAGTGACAAAGTAAGAACACCCGCCCTGCGATTTCACCGGAGAGGGACCCCATAGATCTGAATGAACATACTCCTGAATTTCTTTTGAAGTGTGATGATCAGTACTAAACCTCACCCTGCGTTGCTTCCCTTTTATACAAGCCTCACAGAATTGAATTTTACCTATCACATCCCCACCAAATAAACCCTGCTTGCTCAACACAGACAACCCTAGCTCACTCATGTGACCTAATCAACGGTGCCACAAATTTGTCCTGTCATCATGTTTATCCAAGGACTGGGATACCGCGGCTGTTCCCATCACTGAACTGCCCTGTAGAAAGTAAATTCCATGTTGCAGTTTTCCCTTCATCATTACCAGAGCACCTTTCAGGACTTTCACCCACTCACCTTCACCATGATATTTTAAACCATTCTTGGCTAAGGTGCCAAGAGAAATCAAATTCTTTCTGAGTTCAGGAACATACCAACAGTCAAATTTCCTGATAGTACCATCAAGCAATTTTATCTGTACTATCCCGCTTCCCTTATGGCTAGAACCCCATCATCACCTAACTTCACCGTTTCATTTCACTCCTTAAAAGAAGTGAGTAGATCACGAGAGAACATCATATGGTGAGAAGCACCGGTATCCATAATCCAGGAATCAACAGTACTAGCACTACACGCTGTCAGAACTTCACCAAAGTCTCCATCATCAGAACTGTCTTGTACCACAGCAGCGCTGCTGCCACTGTTACTAGAATCAACTTTTGTATTTCCCTTCTTATGTGGACAATCCCTTTTAACGTGCCCCTTCTCCTTACAAAGATAACACCTAACTTTGCTAGAGGATTTTAATTTTGAACGCGACCTCCCATTCCCGTTACCCCTCTCCTGTGGTCTTCCCCTACCTGCAAACAGACCTGAACCAGAACCTTCTTCTAGAGAAATCTTTCTTTTCAATTCTTTGGACATAAGGGCATCTTTCACATCATTAACAGAAATTGTAGTTCTACCATATAGCATAGTATCTACAAAATTCTCATATGAACCAGGTAGTGAACACAGTTAAATTAGGGCTTGATATTCATCATCTACTTTAACCTCAACCCCTTGAAGATCAAGAATGATACGGTTAAAGGTATCAAGATGATCCTTTACCTGAGTACTTTCGGACATCCGGAAGGTGTAAAGGCGTTGCTTCTGATATAGCATGTTCGTGATAGAGTTGTTTTGGTACTTCTCACACAGTTTATTCCATAACCCAAAAGCCGTTGTCTGATCTACAACCTCCCGTAACACCTCATTAGTAACTGACAGCAAGATCGCGGAATGAGCCCTTGCCAAAATCTCCTTATTTACCTCCTCCTTCGTGTCTTTAGGAAACTTGTCTTCTCCCTCCAACGCAGCCGCACATCCTTGTTGAACCAGAAGTGCCATCAACTTAACCTTCTAGAGCGTGAAGTCATTCGACCCATTAAACTTCTCCAGATCAAACTTATACAAGGACATCTTCAATCAATGAGATATGGCTCTGATACCACTTGTTATGAGAAAACGAGAAAGAAAGCAAATAAAGAACACAGAACCAGAGAGATTTTATTATACTGATTCGAAGATTTACAAATATGTCATCCGACTAAGAACCATAGCTATCTATTTATAAGTAACCCAAAACACCTTAAACCCTGAACC